TCCATCGAATATGTTGGGTATATCACATATGCGACATGTGTTGTTGAGGAGATAGCAGGGTCGGTCCCCATGATCTCTGCCACAATACTGACAGATATTATCACGTCCTGCCACTGGAGCTTGAGAAGGATTCTGAATCATTGGCCTGGGTCTCTTGTTCTATTGAACAAGCGCAGTAGGTGCTGGTCTTGCGGGGTAGAACTGAGGATCTGAGGTTCCCTGCTGCCTAAGAGACGGTGCGGAAACTCCTATCAACTAACTCTGCCTTGGCCAAAACAACCGAATAAGTTTTGAGCTCCAGCACAAATAACTGTTGTTTGATCTATGGGTGGAGAGCCCACTTGAACCTTTTACCCTCCCTACCTTCATCAAACAATGTCTCAAAGGAATATCAGCCCAACTCTAAAAAATTGCAAGCATATTCTGACACAGTCATGTTCCCCTGGACTAACTGTACAAACTTAATCTCATTAAGATGTCGGAGATGCTCTGGAAAGTGCTCTACATGAAAGGCCACAAAGAACTATTCCCAAGTAACTGGAACATGTAGGGTGGTCTGTTTGAGTTCCCTCCAGCAGTCTACTTCTCCCACTAACATGTAGGTAGCAATGGCTACTTTCTGTTCGGGAGTTACTCCCAGGGTCTTGAAGGCCTTTTCTGTCTCTGCTAACCAGTACTCGACATCTTTAAAAAATGATCCCCTTGTAAAAGTGGATGGGTTTAATCTTTTATACCTCTCTATGTAGCCTGAGTCCATCATTGGAAGAGCTGGGTCCCATATAAGAGGGACTGAGCCATGTTGAGGATGGACTCGGTGGCTTTGCGGTGGTACTTACTAGTACGGTGGGGGCACCAGATTGTACTGTGGTAGTGCCGGGTGGTACTATGGTTGGAGAACCGAATCATACTGTGGTGGCGCCGGGTGGTACTATGGAGGAGCAGGGTCGTACTGGGGTGGCTCGGGATCCTCTCGCTGCAGGGATGACTCAACCTGTGGCAGCGGAGGAGGGTCAGGTAGCTCCCTCATTTCCTCTCAGCTCTGCTGGGCGACAATGAGTCTTCCAGCATCTCAAATATTCGGTCAATATATTCTCTAAGCGAACCATCTCGGGCTACTTGATTTAGTGGGGTCTTCATCTCCTCATTTTTTTGTACCTATATTTCATAAGTATAGGTTGAGTGATAGTTTGTATTTTATGTTTTTAAGTCTTTGTGTAAGGAATGGTTCCGATCAACGTAGCTCTGATACTAATTATTGAAGCCCGTAACTTAAAAGAAAATAAATTAATAAATTAAATGTAGAAGTGATTAATAGAGTTAGAGTTTACATTCCTTACACAATAATTTTTAATTCTCAATAGAGATACAAGAATGTTCATTCTAAAAGACATACAAAAATTAAAGAAATAAAACAAAAAACGAATAACTAAACATCGTAGGACAACCTTTACTAGCATTTGAAGGAAGTTCGGCTAGTGAACTACTCACAACCCTCTTGTTGATTGAGATTTGGATCTTGATCCTCTTGATTTGAAATAGTTAACGAAAGGGTGAGATACACTAACCCAGTAAGAATATCACGTTAATAACAGATATAGAAATTTAAAGATTGATAAAAAAAATTAGAAAAACAGCTAATAGAATCTTTGATTTATTTAAATATATTTAAAACTTGAAGACATTTGTTTAATACTTACCATAACGAGTTTTTTAAAGATAACCTATGAAGACCCATATTCATATCACTTTTTACTTTCACGTATAAGAGAACGAGAAACAATAGGTTTGCTTTCTTACCTGCTTACTGGTACCCATGGGGATCCATAGGGGTGTCTCCCCTACTTGTGAACCCAATATCCAATTTTACAACTGATCGGCCGTCCCCATACCCTGTTAGGTAATGGGCGCCAAATATTCCCTCGCCTTGATATCCTGTACGGTATAAGGGTGAATCATATCTCCCAAACTTTTTGGGTAAGAGACTTTCAAGTCCTGTCCGACTGAGGTAACGTTCACGGTAGGATTCCTCATGTACCTATGAAATAGATTTGTCCGGTCTTTTCCTGCGTAACCAACAAGTCTTTCACACACAGATTTTCATCAATAAATAGCCAATAAATTTATACCAATATCTCATATCACATTTACAGATCAATTAAACTACATTAATACTGGCGATATATAACCAAAATAACCACATAAGTTGATAAGATTATTGAATTATAAATTAAGAACTTGTACTATATGAAAATCAAGTAAGTAGGATGGTACAGGAAATCAAGACAATTGTGAACTAACTGGTTCTGGCTCCATTAGTAACCTGTAATTTTTTTTAGGATTTTTTAATTTTTCACCAAAATACAAAATTATGTACTGGTAAGTCTCAATTTACCATAACAAAGAATAAAGTGAGAGATCCTTACCCGGATTGGTGTTTCGAGATATCGAACTATCTACTACGCCTCCTAATAGGTATTAGGTTATCTGAATTTTTTATGTGGAATTCAAAACACTCGTCACATACCTAAAAATACTCAAAAAATTTAAAATCAATATCCAACACTCATTTCGACCAATTTTAAGGTTCCAGCATGGCATCGCCCCGTGTGTCAACACCGGCTATGCTGCCCACGGTGGCAATTCACCTCGGCCTAGCTAGTTTTGGCCGTATCCCTGTAGAAAAGTACGTTAGGGGCCTCGGTTGGCTGAAAAATCACAAAAAAATCGAATCTACTGGCAATGGGGACCTCCGAATGTGGCGGCTTCGTCGGTCCTCCTTCGCAGCTAAGGTTTTTTCTTCGGCTACCCAACACAGAAAATGACGGTGAACACAATGATAAAAAAATCACGTGAAACAAGAATCAAGAAGGGGTTCATCGAAGGGATTTTAAGGTTTTAGCTGCAGCGGCTGTGCCAGACTTTGCTCGCAGTTTTCGGTTCACCGCCGTTTCTCTTACTCCGATTTGGCCACAAGGGTACTCATAATCAAATTCTGGGCGGGTACGTGAAATTTTTATCTTTTTTTACAGTTGACAGTGGCTCCGGTGCGGCGACGGTCAGCGGTCGGCCTCTTTCTCCGGTGTCTGATTCTTCTTCTCTAGCGGGGGCTGGTGGCTAGGGTTTAGGTTCCCGTGTGATACGAAGTATTTATAGCTATCTTGCGTTGATCTAGGTTGTCCATCGTGATCGATTTTGTCTGTCCAATTGCGTCTAGAAAGAAAATAAATATGGACCGTTCATTGTGATCAATCTCGATCGTCCGATCGCACATAAAGGAGAAATGAATCCAGGCCGTCCACGCGCGTGGGATCAATCATGGGCCATTCGATCGCGGAGCACGTGAATTGCCAGCGTAGCCTCTCACATGGCACCAACATCAACGCGCGTTACCACGTGGCGCGCTCTGGTCCGTTGAGACTACTAATTGGGCGGTCCTACATGACCAAACTTTCTCTATTTACACTTTGATATCATATTTTTAATTTTTCTTTAAAAAATACTCACATAATCTAAATTTTCACTTATTTTTTCTAAAATTATTTTCATTCTCGTCCCTAATTTATTTTTTTCTCAAAGTTCCACTTAAATAAAAACAAAATAAATTAATCAATTATTTTAAATTAATAATTAGATAATAAATAATTTATCTTGAGTCATTTTTCTAATATGGGTATTACATTAAAATTTTATTTTAATAATTATTTTTTTATTTTTATATTTTTGTGACATGATAACTTAATATTTTCTTCTGATTATATTAAATATTTTAATACCATTAAAATAAAGTATTAATATGAAGCTTTAATTAAAAATAACTCTAAAATACTTTTTTTTTAAAATAATTTCGGGAGGAAAATTTTAAATATATTAATTCAGTAAAGGGATTACACTATAAAACACTCAATATAAAAAACTAGATCTTAATGCGAAAAACCTAATTTCAAATTCTTGTAAAAATTTAAGTTTTATTAACGTATTTTTTAATTTTATTTTACAAATTTATATATATTTTTTTTGTATTTGTGTATTATTAGAAATATGTAAGAATTATCCTTGTATTATAGATCAAAACTTTTCATAGGTTTTTAGAGTTGTTTGAAGGAAAAAATAACACTAGCATTAAATTGTGTAAAATATTTTAATTGTTTTTAAAATATATTACACATATAACAAAAAAAATACCTATATATGATATATATATATATATATATTACTATGTACATACTAAATTAATTTATATTTTCAAAGATATTCATTCAACCTGTAAAGATTGGGATTAGAAACAAATCAATCTCCTGAACCCATAATCTTCTAAACCGTGAGGACTGACCGGTACGTGAACCGGTCCGGTTCAATTCAGACCGAACAGATTGATCCCGACTGAATTTTACTTGCCGCTAGGTTATGACATTGATTTCCTCACCACAAACTATTAAGAAAGTACACATCATCAACGCAATTGAAAATTTCATTTTTCTTTTTTAAAATATAATAGAACTTCTATATCGGGTCAAAATCAACTGTGATTTTGAAAGTAATCTAATCGTACGGTCAGGAACGAAAGTTATGACAGTTCTGAATTCTGATCATAGATAAGAGCAAATACACCGCTCTACTTCTGCCTAATTGTTTTACGCCACGTGTTCCCCGCAGGATGCATGACTTTGGATTTTCCAACAATGTGGAAAGTACAGCCATGCTATTCTCACAGCTTGTTTTCATCAATTTTATCTCACAGCCCATTTTGCACCGTCGATCTGTGTAGATTTCCATCTAATGGTGAATTATTGACTCTGAAAAATCCAAATCGAACGATGATTTGATTGCTGTTATGAGAGTTTCAACACTGGCAGTGACGTTCACTTTACCACTGTTATGTGCATCAGACGTATTGAAACTCGCCACGTGTCAAGCGGGTCTATTTATATCCGTTGGATTTATAACACTTTCGTGTACCCCACTCTTTCAAACTTGGATCACCATCACTCGTTTTTTTTTTTTTTTGTTCTGAAGAAGTTTTTAAAATTTTCCTCCTCTGGAAAACGAGTCTCATTTTCCCTAGCGAAAAAACGAAACGGCACCCCCAACAATAATCCACTTTAGTTCTTCCTCTTTTCCCGTCTCCTCTTCTCTCTGTTAGGCCTTCGTTATTCGATTCGCCGGGACCCTTATTCGATCCGTCGGAAATTGGAAGATTCCGGTGAGTTCGCTTCTCTCCGGCGACTTTTAAGCATTGTTTGGTTATTCAACTCGATTAGGTTTTTTTATTTCCCGTGAAGTGTTTGGTTAAATTGAAAGAACAGGCTAACAGTTGCGTCGTATTGCTGAAGCAGTAGATGAGTATACGATTGGGGAGGAGTTGAGGGCAACCGGCCAGGATTTCGTCACCGGATGGAGGGAGGTAGCGTCTCTAGACTTACTTGTTCTGGTACTGTTCATTTCCTACTTTTCTTCATAAAAAAACAAATGAATAGGGTATTTTGATGTGTAGTTACAGCTATTTTTGCCTTGTAAATGGTGAGTTTAGCTTAAAAGTAGTTGCCTTTCGTTGTTTACTCTTTTATTGGCAACACCATGTACGTCCGATACTATTTGTTTGCAGCCCAATGCTTTATGTGCGTCTTTGTATGCTTACGTTTTCTATACGTGTATGTGTATTTATTTTCAGATATCAATATTTATTTAAGGCTAGGGTTTGGGTGCTTGATTCAGTTGCTAGTGATATTGGTAGAATATTGACGTTTAACTGGTTCGTACCAGTTTGGGGTTCCTGTTCTCGACTTCATGGAAAACATTTATGTCTGTGCTGTTTACTGTTTATTTTATCTAGTGTATATTTAATGAACTGAACTCAAGTTTGTCTTGTACATTCTCCATCCCTGGTAATTTTCTGAAATTGAACCTTTACTCCTAATCTTTGTAACAGACCTGCTTCTATGCCTTTACGTTGCTGTAGCTTGTGTTTAGTGGTGATTACATTGTTTTGTCTTGACTAGATTTTGCAACAGAAGATTTTTAATTTTTATAGCTTATATTGCTAACTATGCATTGAATTTATTTGTCATGATGTCATATGGATGTGGAATTTTCCTATTCTGAAATGTCAGTGCTACAACTGGCATGAATAAGAATTTTGACTTACAAAATTCTCTCTTCTTTCTTTTAGGCTAAAGAAGAGTACTTTACAATTTGATAATACAACTATTAGTTTCATATTTATTTTTTGGGTTATCTTGCCATTTTCTCCTGGAGCATAAAGCATTGGGATCAACTCCTAATTTTTAAATGGCTAAAGCGTAAAGGAACTTGCAGTTATCATGTTTTTGATTCTCCAGAAACATATTTATGAAATAAAGTTTAGTACTTCCATACGATGAGTCTTTCCAGGGATGAACTTTTTTTTGTTAAAGAAAATCTAAGGTGCATAACTGGGTCAATTTATGCAAAGTAAGTGCTAGATATATATGACATGGGTTTTTATCTGATTTCTGTGTGTAAGAGAGACTGGATGCTTGAATTATGGATGGTGAGGAATAAAAGAAAGAAAGGTGGTAAACTGTAGTATGTGGCAATTTTCCTTTTGTTGATGTTTATTAGAGGCAGTGTGCAGCATTTTGGGGCAGTATCTGCAATAATTTCCAACTTTTATTACATTAGTTGCTTCTGTTTCTAGTCTATTTGTTTATTCTAGTGCCTTGTTAGAAATATCTTTTAGCCCTTGGGGAAGTTTCTTGTTGGCTACTTTCCTATTCTCTCTAAGTTTTTTTTTTTTTTTTTTTTTTAAATAGGGATATACCCATGGATTATGATGAAAATGATTTTCAAAGCCAGAATCTTCATTTAGCTGGTGAAGGAAGCAACAAGTATCCTCCAGTTTTACGCCCATATGCTCTTCCCAAGTTTGATTTTGATGACAGCCTTCATGGCCATTTAAGATTTGATGACAGTTTGGTTGCAACTGAGGTTTTTCTTGGTATTGAAAGTAACGAAGATAATCAGTGGATTGAGGACTTCTCTCGGGGGAGTAGTGGAATAGTGTTTAGTTCAAGTGCAACTGAGTCCTGTGCAATTTCAAGACACAACAATGTTTGGTCTGAGGCCACCTCCTCAGAATCTGTGGAAATGCTTCTAAAATCTGTTGGGCAGGAGGAATTAATACCTGAACAAAATATTGTTAAGGATTCAGATGCTTGTGATGAGTTGGGCTGCATTATGAAGCAAATGGAGCCTAGTCTGAAGCGTGATGAGAGCAGTGTCCTGAAGGCAGCAGATGAAAACTTGCAACCAACACTACTGCTGGATGAAACATTAGGAAACTTTTCTGGTTTAAAGGAGGATGTAGTAGTGCGACAGCCGTTGGTTAAAGATGTATCACAAGCTGGTGAAGGTGATTCATCCGCAGATGGTGGTTTTAGTGATCTGAATCCATGCACTGTTGGTGGAAAGGAAAGCATAATGTTGATGAAGGGGAATGAATTTTGGGGATGTAGAATGTGTTGATGTTGGCGAAAGTAAGGCCGCCACTATGGTTACTGAACATCTTGGTAACAGGATGCAAGGAGATTCTTCTGCTTCAAGCATTCAAATAGAAAATCAGGTTTCTCCCAGTCAAAATATTAGTTCAGATTGTTCTCAGATCAATGATCAAGATCTGCATCTAAAAAAGCCAACTGTTGAGAGTTTGCAAAATGATAGTGCTGAGAACCAGGAGGAATGTCTTGTAAGCTTAGAGACTAGGATACATGATGAGAGCACAGATGGAAATTTAAGTGCAGGAGGCACTTCCCATTTGCATAGCTTGATTATCAAGGTAGATGGGAACATAGATGAACCTCCTGATATTTTATTGAAGGGAGTTTCTGATGACCCTATGATGGAAGGATGTAAGGAAGGTGTCTATTCTGGTACACTTGCTCAGATTAGTGACCAAAAAGTTGTGGTCGTATCTAAAAATATGGAGACTGATGATCAGTCTGAAGAAAATCTAAATAAGGGTCCATCAGGGGCCTTGGGCCAAGAAGTTGAAGTCAGCAATATTAGTACTGGAATTTGCTTTAATACGGATAAAAATATGCAGGCTACACGTGGACCAAGTAGTTCTTTTGAGAAGGGTACATCACAGATGGACGGGCAATTGTCTACAGAAATTGTCACCAATAAGCTTGAGCCGTCATTATTGTCATTGGAGGAAAGTAAATATTTTAATCGGGAAGTTGGTGGAAGCAGCAATAGTCAGGAAGGTGACTTTTGAGCGGAAGTGCTTCAGACACATGCAGATGCAACGTTAGAAGGTTTGTACAGAGTGTGTTGGGGTTGTAGGTCAACAATGACATCCAATAAAAATTATAAGTCTGAGAAAAATGATGTTAAGAACATCAATCAAGATGTTTCAACTGTTGCAAAGGAGGCCTGCTGAGGTGCCTTCTGATTGTAGGGAGATGGATACTGAGAATGGTAGTCCCCTTGCTTACAGATAAGGGGGTTGCTTTAAAATCGTCTGGAGAGAGTCCTGTTGATTCCATGAACAAGTTCAAAGCTTCAGAATCTTTTTCTGATGCTGCTGCTACAAATGTCAAATCAGGTATGTCGTCAACCTGTTTGGTTGGGATTCTTGGATATTAGGCCTATGTTTGTATTTTGGATTTTCCATGAGATTGATATTAGACTAAAAATTCTCCTATACGTTTATCTACACTGAAAATGAAACAGTTCATTATAACACATAAAACACATACATAGATATATATGATCTATCATCATAGAGAAGAAACATATGTACATGTATAATTTATTCACATGCTTGTTAAAAAAATATTTTTACATGGTTTTTATATTTATTTGATTATTTATTTTCATAGGTTGATTTTGGAAAAAAACCGTAAAAGTAAGTATCGAATAAAACGTTTTAAAGTTAATGCATTTACTCAAAGTAAGAGATTCATTAGTTGTTTTATGCTTTTCTACCAACTTTTGGTTTTCTATATCAATGATTAGTGTGATATTCTTACTGGATTAGTGTGATATCAATGATCAATGATTAGTGTGATATTCTTAAGGATAAATTATATTTTACTTATTGTAATTTAGTTTTGTTGTAATGGGAATAATTTATTTTTGTGATAATTGAATATTTGGTAGTTAAGTTTTTTGTTTCTTGAAATATTATTTTATTAAAATTTTTAATTTTGAAATGTATATTTATGTAGAAATAGGATACATATAAACGTTATCTAAAAATAATATTTTGAGGTAAAATAATAAAAAATAAATGTTAAATTATTGTAATAGAATTACAAATTTTAAATTATAATAGAACTAATTATTGAAATAAGTTTATATTTTATTCTTTACTTTATTTAATGCGAGCATGAAGTGAACTTCTAATTAATATCTCGATTATATGAAAAATAAATTAAATAGTAACTCCCTCTCTCTTTCTCTCAGCATGTACGGCGTTAGGAGAAGATAACATGGAATACAATGATGCAACTGATAATGCAGCTCTGCCTCCACTAGATGGTGGTGGTGGTGATGCAGTTATTGATCAGCAAGAAGTTCAGGCGTCGCCTTTACCTGGTGATAGCTTTTTAGCCTCCAAAAAGGAGGAAGAGAGTTCAGCTACAATGTCCACGGAAGCTGTTTTGTTGAAGGCATCTTCTACTGAGACAACTGTGGTCGATCTTGTTTCTGAATCTAAAAAGGACGAATCATGTGACACTGATGAACATCAATTACGTGACAAGGTTGTTCAATCTCCCTCATTGGTGCATATATGTAGTATAGGAAATCAGACAGAGCCCGAAATGCAGGTCAACAAAGTTAGCCAGGAAAACACCCTGGAGGTTGATTTATGTCCTGCTGGTGGTTCAACACAAAGACAAGCTGTTGGTGCTGATGGACAACTTAAGAATAGGGAAGTAACTGTTAAAGAAAATGATGAAAAGACCCTTCCAAAAGTTCCAGGTGATCATTTTTAATTCTTGAGGTTGTGAGGCATAATTTTCAAAATTTTGATTCTATCACCTGCTTTTAGTGGCTTAGTAGTATATTTCCCATGT